AAGACGAATTAGACATTATAAGACGTATTTGAGAGGAAACCCAATGCTGACATAACTATTCAAATAAACCCCATGCTGATATAACTATTTATATAAACCCAATGCTAATATAACTATTTATATAAACCCAATGCTAATATAACTATTCATATAAACCCCATGCTGATATAACCATTCATATCAACCCCATGCTGATATAACTATTCATATAAACCCCATGCTGATATGACTATTCATATAAACCCCATGCTGATATAACTATTCAGATAAACCCCATGCTGATATAACTATTCATATAAACCCCATGCTGATATAACTATTCAGATAAACCCCATGCTGATATAACTATTCAGATAAACCCCATGCTAATATAACTAATCATATCCCCCATGCTGAAATAACTATTCATATCAACCCCATGCTGATATAACTATTCATATCAACCCCATGCTGATATATCTATTCATATAAACCCGATGCTGATATAACCATTCATATAAACCCCATGCTGATATAACTATTCATATAAACCCCATGCTAATATGACTATTCATATAAACCCCATGCTGATATAACTATTCAGATAAACCCCATGCTGATATAACTATTCAGATAAACCCCATGCTAATATAACTAATCATATCCCCCATGCTGAAATAACTATTCATATCCCCCCATGCTGAAATAACTATTCATATCAACCCCATGCTGATATAACTATTCATATAAACCCCATGCTGATATGACTATTCATATCAACCCCATGCTGATATGACTATTCATATAAACCCCATGCTGATATAACTATTTATATCAACCCCATGCTGATATGACTATTCATATCAACCCCATGCTGATATAACTATTCATATAAACCCCATGCTGATATAACTAATCATATCCCCCCATGCTGAAATAACTATTCATATCAACCCCATGCTGATATAACTATTCATATAAACCCCATGCTAATATGACTATTCATATAAACCCCATGCTGATATGACTATTCATATAAACCCCATGCTGATATGACTATTCATATCAACCCCATGCTGATATGACTATTCATATCAACCCCATGCTGATATAACTATTCATATAAACCCCATGCTGATATGACTATTCATATAAACCCCATGCTGATATGACTATTCATATAAACCCCATGCTGATATAACTATTTATATAAACCCCATGCTGAAATAACTATTCATATCAACCCCATGCTGATATGACTATTCATATCAACCCCATGCTGATATGACTATTCATATCAACCCCATGCTGATATAACTATTTATATAAACCCCATGCTGATATAACTATTTATATAAACCCCATGCTGATATAACTATTTATATCAACCCCATGCTGATATAACTATTCATATAAACCCCATGCTGAAATAACTATTCATATAAACCCCATGCTAATATAACTATTCGTATAAACCCCATGCTGATATGACTATTCATATAAACCCCATGCAGATATAACTATTCATATAAACCCCATGCTGAAATAACTATTCATATAAACCCCATTTTAATATAACTTTTCGTATACCCCCCATGCTGATATAACTATTGATTCAGGAGAAATAGTGGTACAATGATTTGCAAAATAACCACTTTGATAGACATACTGAATGCCTGCATGGCATAATTTTCATTTAAGACAAACTAGACATCTTAAGAATTTCTTTATTAAAAAAAAGAAACAGATGATACAGCCATCGTTTCAGGAGGAGCAGTGATTTTAATGTGGCCGCTGTACCAGCCATGTTGTCATATTGGACATCGGATCGGCACCAGTGTTATTTAGGACCAACTAGACAGCATAAGACGTCTTGTGGAGAAAAACCCATGGCAATATTGCATTCACTCACGCGGGGTATCAATAACAAGAATTTCAAGGTACCCGCTGTGGCAGCCACATTGGACACCACAAGGGCACCATTATCATTGATAACCAACCAGTAGTTATAAGAAAGTCTTGTGAAAATATCATGGCAAGATAGCTCGTTCATAAGGAGTAGCGATAACACGATTTTCAAGATGGCCGCTGTAGGACCCATGCTGGAAATCAGATCGGTATACTACTTTCATTCAACTGACAGTCATAATAAGTCCTCGAATCAAAACCTGTGTGACAACCATATTGTAAATCAGATCGAAACCATTTTCGTTTAGGACATAAGAATCTATTAGGACTAATGGGTTTAAAGTAACGTTTCATGGCAATCTTCAGAATAGTTTAGGAGGAATAGCGATAGCAAACTTGTGCAAACGGACGGACGGACGACTGACGATAGACAACAGACCAGGCCATAAACTCTTCTCGTCTGTTACAACTTAAGCTTATAAAATGATCCCTTGAAAAATATTGGCATTTTTTCACTCCAAACCATAAAAACGGATATCAGGATGGAATTTATAAAGAGGTCTAACATTTTGTAGCTATGGTTCCTGGAAAACCGAGATGGGATTTTTGTCCGGCCAGTTTGATTTTATTGACGTAACCTTTAAACAACTCATAAACAAGTACCAAACATAGACTTATTGGAGAAAAGGTTAATATATAGTCTACGAAAAAAATTTTAAAAAAACAAACAGAAAACAACCAAGAATAGCTGGACATACGTTTCTTTTCGTGCAGTACTCACAGATAATTACTGACATTTTTGTCACAAAATATAAACGAAACGGCAATGCAAATTCTAGCATGATTACAGTGCTAAATATGATTACAACATCTCATGCGACATTTCCAACGTAAGCATTAGAATATTTGTGTCAATATTTGCTTTTATGTGATCGGTTGCTGTTACAAAATGATGGGAATGGTGTTAAACTATATTAACTTCTGCAAAATTACATAAATGCGGTCACCTTTAGGTAAATTTCCATAAATGTTTCATGTGGAGCAAAGGTAATTAGCTAAAAGTTGTTGGTTCATTATTAATTTTGAGCACATGCTCACAAATTGGCATTCCTGTTATGTGTATTCCAACTTTATTTTTTATTGTCAAAAGCAGGAGCTTACAGGAATAAAATAGCATACGAGCAAAACTAAATAATGTATGACTGTATATGTGCATGTGAATGGAATGCTTATATAAGAAAGAAGGAATGTTTATGTAAGAAAAAGGAATGTTTATATAAGTAAAAGAAAGGAGATTGTCTTGTCAAGAATAATATATCCATAAAAGTGTACCAGCAAATTCTTGACACTTTCAAACCAGATTCTGAATATCGAATTAACTGTCTGTAACGCGCTATTCATCAACTTCCCGATCCATGGTCACGTTCTTGTTTATACCTGCAGTAGAATTTGCTTTTAGGAATCACGGTACTAATTCAGTTCCCATTGTAAACCTATCCAAACACCATGATATTAAAAATTCAATAACTCTAAAATTTCTGAGCGAGTATGATCAAACCAATATTTATCAGTATATGTGAAACTTGTATGTCAGCTTCTGTGTACAGGAAAGTATGTGAGCCGCGAAATTTTCTGGACGTGCATGTGTTTGGAACATGTGCTGTCAATTCCGCACCAAAGAGTCAGGCGTGTAACGAGTGTTCCAAACTCAGGACTTAAAGGACTGGAATTCCATCAATAACACAATGTCTGTATTTTTTTTCTCACTTAGAACTAAAATAAGCTCTCACAGCTTTGTTTTCCTAAAACACAACTTACATTATTAATCAATCATGGCCACCCAAACCCATATATACTGTATTTTATGTTCCCCATTGCCAGACTGGTTCCCATTTTTCCATACCATTAGTACCGTGTGTCCTATAAAAATTGGCTTGCATGTACAGGTCTGTCTGCTTAAATTGGAAGCCCCCTTGCTTGCTAATGTATTAAAATAATGACCACGTATTGGACAAATAGTTTTATTTTTATTTATTGGCCTTAAGGATATCCACTTTTTGTTAAATAAATTCAATTGTATATAGGAGTATATCTAGGGAATTTATTTTTAAAGCAGCCAGATATACAATGCATTGTCATGAGTGGCGAAGTAGATTGCAGTCTTTTCGCATGAATGTTTCACCATTCTGTGCCACTGTCATTAACAGGAGCATTGCTATATCCATAGAAAGAAGTTCTAAATCTTATAATAATTCTGGGACAGTGATATTTTACAATTTTAGCGATTAAATATCATGAGTTAAAATGTGTATTTCGGCAAAATAATCAACTTATTCGTACAAAAATGAAGAACCATTTTTAATTTTCCTTACATTTCATGCGCCTACAGAAAACTAGGAGCGTGAGACTTAATGTAAAAACATTACATAAAGGTTGAGTCAGACAGACAACAGAGCGTAACATCTTTATACAAGGTATTGCAATTATTGTGACTTTATTTGTAAAGATTTTTTGTTCATTAATTTGATTATTTTTACATTCACATGTAAATTTTTGTGTAGCCATTGCGAGAGTGAATTCTAGTTCGATAGCAAATTCTGTATCTAATTTTCGATTGTCACCTATATTCGGTTCACATTTCATACTAATCAAGGCCCAATATATCCATTGTTTTTAAACAAGATTGAGGTGAGTGTTAAGACTACTTCTGTAAAATTATTACTGCATTTTATCAGGAGAATTTTATCTTAAAAACGTGTACCATTTGTCTTAGAGAATAACAAGTATACAACATTGTATGTTTGAAACATAGCAACTGGTCATGTAAGTACAGTCACTGACAGTTGCCAACATTGATGTACATAGGTAATTATAAAAATGTAGTCTCTCTGTGTATGATTTTTTAGTTTTAACGTAGCTTTAATAATTTATCAGTCATATCACTATGATGTCTGTAGAGTGACAGCTTATATTCATGTTTAGCACTGAGGCGTCATGCCGCAGACATGCAGCATGATGTCCCACCCAGTCACATAATCCTAACACCATGGCCGACTAGTTCTAACACTAACCTCTTAATGATGAGCGACTAGCAAGGCAATATTTTATAAGTATGCCTCAACCGGGATTAGAACCCTCGACCTCCCGCATCCGAGACGAACGCTCTAACCACTTGAGCTACTGTAGCGGTTTATAAAAAAGGTTGTGCTAGAAGTCTGCCTTTTACCGTTTTGGAGTTCGTATTTAGGCATTTCTTGATGGCACCTCACCTACTGCATACGCGTACAATGGAGGAATCACATTAGACACATTTTAAGATCTGTACAGCCTCATGTGGAGGGAGAGAGAGGAAGAGAGGGAAAGAAAGAAAGAAAGAAGAAGAAGAAGAAGAAGAAGAAGAAGAAGAAGAAGAAGAAGAAGAAGAAGAAGAAGAAGAAGAAGAAGAAGAAGAAGAAGAAAACTAACAATAAAACGATATAGGTCTCAATATGGAAAGATCTGTTTGAACTATATATAAATATAACGACAGATAAATTTCCTAGCTAGGGAAAAAACAGCACTAAAATTGATATCACTACTGTGACGATAAAAGTGATATCGACACTGATACGATATCATTTTTCTTCTACTTATATATTTCAATATCTTATTATAAAATATATAATAAGACGTGTCTATTGCATTATGGCGTCATATGTATGGTGTCCATTGCTACTTACGTCGTTGTTATTGGTGTCTCCTAGAAAAACAATTTATGAGAAAAATTTTAATCACAAGACCAGTCCCGAGAAATAAAGTGATATAGTCGATGTATATGCGGCTTAAATAAATCTTGAGCGATCTTACGACCTGCTATAAATCGGTACGCGTGCTTTCTCTTGCAAAAGAACCCAGATGTAATCAAAATAATCGTGTCATTTGGAATAAACTACAACGCTTGATATTTATGTATTTAATAAGAGAAGCACATGATAGTCTTGTTTTCAATTAGTTTTAAAAAAATGCTTTGAACCGTGTATGCTCGCTTATAGGTCGGGGAAAGGAGGAATAGAGAGTAATGAAAGATCAAAAGAATTATAATATACGATTATTTATAAGAGAAGGCCAAAGCAGACATATGAAATTCGAAGTTTTGACTGTTTCCCCAGCTTTTTCTAACCGGCATTATATTATGGTAAGCACCACAATTTCATAGATATATGCTGGTGACGTATGATACAGTTAAAAAGTTAACTAAACTATAAAACGAAAACACCATAACCTTAATCAATAACAGTATATACTATCTTATAAACTGGGTCAAACTGCAAACAACACGGACCCTGAGCTGGGCAGTCTTGTTTTGTTTTTTCCTGTAACCGCTCCTTACAAACTGATCCGACCCAGATCGGCCAGAATATTTTTAGTTGACGTTAAACTTTGGAACAAAATTAGGTGCCCATGTCCTTATATATGGGCAATGTTTAGTAGTTCCTCCTGTTTGGTTGAAAGCATTAACTCGAACACGTACTCAAAAATACATTTAAATAAGAGGTCAACTCGATTGTTAAACCATTTAAAATGCATGATTAGACAGACAGGAAGTGCGTAAACAGAACAGGAAAATATTCAATATTCTCTGCACGTAAAGAACCCAAACTTAATAACTCATGCATTACTTGATTCTTGTTATGTGTGAGTGTTTGCTATTTTTCCACAACATTCCTAGTATAATATCCATCGATATTCTAAACATTTTGATAAACCAACGTTTAGGACATTGTACTGACTGCTATAACCTTTAATCCGAGAAATTCAAGGTTTGAAGGTCAGTGGCTGTCAGAGGTGTGATTCCCTAGAGTCAACCTAGGCAATAAATGTCACAAGAGAGCTACTGGAAAGTGAATGGACTGCAAATTTGACAATTTGATGGTCACTAAATGTGAGAAATTTGCAAAACTTTTGTATAACTTGAAACACAACAGTTGCAGCTCATACTAATTGTCGAAATAAAACCCAACAAATCGTATAACTGAATATAACTATATGGCCGAATAAGATGAATGACACTTCGGCAATTTTTTTCTCTCACTCTGTTAGCGATAATACTTCGCTGGTAAACATTAAAAAAAAAACCTGATTTACAAAATTGTCAGTACCTGACTTGGTGCAGTGAAACCTCAAGCCACAGTACATCTAGAGTGCGGGCTGAATGTATAACGTTTGCCTTGTAGTCCATTTTGTGTCAAAAGTAAAATAATTGATAGGGTATAGAAAATACTATCAAAGGCATAGAATGCAAACGTTCCTAGTCAGCAGTGCTTTAAAAAAAAAAAGAAAAATAGAAAACAAGCGGTCGAAACCGGCCAAAGATCCATCGCCTGCGTAAATCGAGCGTCAAAGTCGAATGCAAGGGTTTCTAGACAATAACCCTGGCTTACTATAATTTTTTCTGAAGTTGTTTCCTTTAAAAATGTTTCTCAACTTTCGTCTGCAATATAGCAGGGCTAATCGACATAATTTATGCCAATCTGAAGGCAAAATTACATGATACTTTCGGTCTAGTCGGATCAAATTTGCGACGCAGTCGTTTGGGTTTTTTCTTCTATTTTTAGTAACAGCGGAAAATTTTATCGGCATTATACGGAAAAAAAACATTAAACGGTTTTATGCCATGATATTTTCTGTCAGAGTTGGTCACAATCTGTTCAGCGTTTGTTTTGATTTGTTTTGGGGTTTGTTTGCTTTCATTTTTTTCAAAATCATTTCAATCCTTTTCAACTTTTAGTAACTGTGTACATACTTTATAAGCGGTTGTCATAGTTTGAGTAAATTCAAAATCCCTTACTGCTTGGATACTTCGGTTACATTCTGATTAATAGTTTTAAAAAGAAGCCTCTTGAAGTTGTTTTTTTATTGTAGTAACAAGGGACACATTGATCATGGAAAGACACCATTTGAAGATAACACTTAAGAGCCTTAAGGCCAGTATGCTTTCTGTCATATCTGGTCAAACACTGCACAGCGATTTTTGAAGAGAAGTTATTTACAGCATGTTTCTTCTTCTTCTTCTTCTTCTTCTTCTTCTTCTTCTTCTTCATTATCGTCGTCATCATCATCATCATCATCATCATCATCATCATCATCATCATTATCATCATCATCATCATCTTATTATTATTATTATTATTATTATTATTATTATTATTATTATTATTTATTATTATTATTATTATTATTATTATTATTATTATTATTATTATTGAGAATAGAAGTTGCCCAGATTTGACAGCAACATAGCATAAAGGCACAAACACTTAAAATGTATACAAACGAATCCGATTTTTTGGCGGTAAATCGGATTCGTTTGTACACATTTTAAGAGCGTCTGACAACTTATGCCATGTTGATTTTCTGTCAAATCCTGGTAACTTCTGTTCAGCAGTTTTGGAGAGAAAAAAGTCGTTTGATAGTTTCTCAGTATATTAACAAGTGACTATATTTGATACTGGATCAAAGTATTTAAGTAATATGATCTTTAAGTCAGGATGTTTTCTGTCAGACTTGGCTAAATTATGGTCTGGAGTTTATCAGAAGAGGCCGTTCGAAAGTTTTGGTATTTCTAATAATGAAGGCAATATCTGACTGTGGGGTACAATCATATGTAAAACGTTTCAATTCATTTATTCCAGGATGCAGTCTTTCCGATTTAGTCAAATCTTCTTAAGCCGGTTTGGAAAAAAGCTAGTTTAAATTATTTTCTATGGTGGCCATATTTGATGGCATATTGGTAGCATCATTTGTACAAAGATAACTTCGTATTAGATGGATTTTGTCTCACATTTATTCAGCTTCTGATTAGCAGTCTTGTAAAAGAAATCGTTTCCATGTATTTTGTTTTTAGTAATTGTGGCCATAAATGAAATGACATATCTGTAGAATCTTAAATAAGGTTTTTATGTCGGGATGCTCTCTGCAAAATTTGCCTTGGTGGCTTTGAGAAGAAATTGAAAATAGCAACTGTTGACAGACGACATACCAGAGACTACATGCGAGAGACTACACACGCAGGACCATACCATGACATTACTTGAATTTATATCTAGGTGAGTTAAATAAGCCTAGTGAGCTAAAATCAAAAATATTCTTTGAAAAAGTAATTTCTGTATTGTATATTAATTAAAATTTAATAGATATCATCGTCGTTAACACCGTCATCGTCGTCATCGCAGTAGTACCAGTCGAAATATTACCCAGACGAGGATTGGAACGCTTGTTTCTTATGCAAAAAGAGCCACTAAGGAACCAATATGACATACATTCTTATTATTGATGCGAACTGTTAACGACTGACATTGGTGAATGTCATTAAAACAGCTAGGCTTTATGAAAGAAATATAAAGTTAATTAAAAATATCGATCACCTAAGTACAGTGGTCACCAACAAAAAAAATCTCCTGACAATCCTGTCGAAATTTCTGCCTCCCCAGTCAACATGAACTTTATTGTTCTGGATATATACTACGACTGATACACTAATATTGTAATACATAGGAAACATATAAAAATATTATAATTCACGCAAAACTGCTAAACTACAGAAAAAGGCAACGAGAATAATTCTGAAAGTAGCTATATTGGCTTGAACCGGGTTTTGTTTATCTCGCGTCTCAGTGTTCAACAACACACAAACACATTCTAAATTTTAAATTAATCACGACAATGAATTAACTAAAAAAAAAAACTTTCTCTTGATTACATATTTGTCCTAAATGAACGATATCACCTAACATTATTATATTACCACTAATAGTAAATTTCAGATGTTGAGAACTAACCATTTAAAAAAACACGTTTTCTATATCATTTGGAATTCCCTACTAATATAATACGCAATTCAAATTCCATTGAATCGTTTAAATGTTCATTACAGAAATTCCTTCTTAACCAGTTTCAGTAATATATTAAAGTCTCCAACTACAAATTTCTATAATTGTATGCAGTGTGTAAGTATGCAGGTTAGCATGAGTGTAAGTATATAAATTATTTGTAATTGAGTGTACATATTTAAAAAATAAAATTTTATTTTCTTCTACATACGTATGTCCATACAGGATGTACGACAAGTTTCATATATAACCAGCTAGGTATCATAAGATCTCTAATAGTGAAAACCTAATGTTGATATAGCCATCAATTTGAAAGGAG